GGGATAAAAAATCCAGGAGGGCCATTGGAGGCAACAGAGACAGAGACTCCTACTCCCACCCCCGCAAGGTGAAATCTCTCCCATGGATTGCCGGGAAGCCTCCAAGCCCTTGCTCTGCACTAACACACACACACACACACACACACACACACACACACACACAATACAAATAGGCTTGCCCTGTATGGACCATGGAGTGACTTACCTCCACTCTGCACTATTCCCTACGGTAAATACATAAGGATCCATTCCTCCTTTGTTTCTTTTTTTTTTTTTTTTAATGTTTATTCAGTTTTGAGAGACAGAGAGCAAGCAGGGGTGGGGCAGAGAGAGGGAGACAGAATCCAAAGCAGGCTCCAGGCTCCTAGCTGTCATCACAGAGCCTGACGTGGGGCTCAAATTCACGAGCTGTGAGATCATGACCTGAGCCGAAGTCAGACGCTTAACCGACTGAGCCACTCAGGCGCCCCTCCTTTGTTTCTTTTAAATTTTTTTTTCAAGTTTATTTATTTTCAGAGAGAGAGGGAGGGAGGGGCAGTGAGAGGGGGAAAGAGAGAATCCCAAGCAGGCTCCACCGTCAGCCTGATGTGGGGCTTGAACTCATGAACCGTAAGATCATGACCTGAGCCGAGATCAAGAGTCAAACGCTTAACCGACTGAGCTGCCCAGGCGCTCCCACCTCCCATCTCTCCTTTGGCTGAGTGCCTTAGCACTGGCTCAGATGGCTGGAATTTTCTTCCCAGCTGCCCAGGTTCTCTCCACGGTCACAGCCTCCCTTAGGCAGGGGCCAGACCCAGTGCACTGGTAATCGAAGCACTCACTGGATGACCTAAGAGACTAGCTTCTGTAGGCAGCATTTCCCACTGACGGCACCTAAAAGGATTTTAGAGCAGTGCCTGGCTCAGTAAATACGTGTGGGAGGAATCTAAGGCAGTCCTTGGAAACACGTTGTTCTTTCAATTTTAGAGATTAAGAATTAATTGAATACGTGTCAGGGAAAAAAATCCTCAGGACATCAAACCAGTGGTTCAAGGATTTTTAAATTTTCCTTGAACACACGTTTTATCTAAGTTTGATAAAATGAACGTATTTAAAGAGAAATATTAAGGCAATCGTAGCACAGGAGGAACATGGGGATGGCCAGACTCCCACGTGTGGAAAGTGCCTGAGTGAGGGCCAGGCCGGGCTGTGTGCAGCCAGGAGCGGGAGGCTGGTTTCTGGGTGCTCCTGGCTCCTAGCTCCCGAAAGGGCAGGGGGAGGGGAAGGACCCTGGGAGCAGCAGGTGTAAACAGCTTCAGTGCCCGGCTGTGAGTGACCTGAGTGGAAGGAAGATCGCTTATGGTTTTGCTTGTCACCTGCGCATTCCATGCACCAACACAAGTGGCACCAGAGGCCACGGAGGCAGAGCTGCGAGGCGTCCCCTGGGCTACAGTGAGTCATGATGAGAATCAACAGTTGGGGCAAGAACTTCCACCCTCGGGGTCTGCTTCCGCAAAGGCAATGAAAGGCCTGGACCAAACTGGCAAACTCGAGCTCCATTGCGAGGGCACCGGGGCGTCCCTGAGGGTTTTTTGGGGTTTTTTTCATCACAGAGTGACATCTAGGAGCAAAGACCACCTGAAGCATAAAGTAATCAGGGCCTAGTAAAGGAACTGCAGCCATCCTGGCAATTTCTTGTGGCCTTTGGCCAATGCCAGCCATGTTCTCTGGGAATCAGGGCGAAACTGAAGAAGGGACCTGGGGTGGACATGAAGGGGATTCGCTAGGTCAACAAGAAGTGCCCAGGGAAAAAGTCACATATCACAGACGTCAGAGATCTCCAAGGAGAGATTCTAAAACACTAGTTTTGGGGCACTTGGGTGGTTCAGTCCATTGAACGTCTGACTCTTGATTTTAGCTCAGGGTATGATCTCATGGTCGTGGGATGGAGCCTCACATCTGACTCAGTGCTGAGCGCACAGCCTGCTTGAAACTCTCTCTGCCTCTCCTTCTGAACCTCCCCTGCTTGCACCCAGTCTCTCTCTGTCTCTCAAAAAAAAAAAATAATAATAATAATAGGGGCACCTGGGTGGCTCAGTCGGTTAAGCGTCCGACTTTGGCTCAGGTCATGATCTCATGATTCATGAGTTTGAGCCCATGTCTGGCTCTGTGCTGACAGCTGAGAGCCTAGGGCCTGTTTCGGACTCTGTGTCTCCCTCTGTCTCTATGCCTCCCCTGTTCGAGCTCTGTCTCTGTCTCTCAAAAATAAAATAAAAGTACTAGGTTTGTGGTGGAGAAAGAACAGGTGGGCACCTTTCCTCCATTTCTCCACTTGGGAGAGTCAAGCACAACTCACAGGGCCTGTTAAGTTTGCAGCTGGGGGTTCTGAGTCCATCTCTGCCCCCTCACACACCTACCCCTCTTCCTCCCTCCCTGTCTCCCTCTGGCATGGCAGAGAGAAGACAGCCAGAACCTTGGGATTACTGCTTTTCAAAGGTGGAGGCCAGATACTTATCTACAGGATGATCCCAACCATGTTTTGAAAAATGGACGAATATACAGGAAGAAAATGTAAAAATGTTAACTCACAGTGGTTCCTTCCAGACGGAAGGAAATCAATAATTTTCTTTTCCTTAAAGAGTTGCAAGGAGAAATGCCACCAAGCTGAGACCTCCCAGCAGCCATATGCCCCCAAACTAGCTGAGCTCAGACCAGGCCACAACAAAGCCTCCCAGGAAGACGGCACTGGCACATGAAGCTAGCTCTGCCCAGGTGACCACGTCAAGGTGAAAGAAAGCTCCATGCTGGTATTTAACTGAAAATCAAGCCAAGGAGGAAATCAGCATAAACAAGCCTTTTAGAAAAGGGGAGCGAGCCTGGAGCAGGGCCCAGGTTTTATTGATAGAAGGCTAGGTCCTGCCCTGGCTGTGCTGAAGCATGCAGCCGGGCCTGTCCAAGGCAAACATAACAGCCGACCCAGCCGGCCGGGAGCAAACCCCACTCCAGACTGTTTGCTGGCTGGGGGGCCGTTCAGCACCCACGTGGGACCCTTGGACCCTTCTGTGTGGTTCTGTGTGGCTCCTTCTCTATTTTACTGGTGGATGTACTCTAGACATTGGTGGATGAGTCTAGACTCAGCCTTGATGCAGTTTGCCACATGGTTCTGAGGTTGACTCCTCTTTCCAGCAGAGGAAAGAGGGGGCCACTCTGCTTCCGAATACTCAGACTTGGAAGCCCCTGTTTGCTGTTGACGCCCTGAGGGGGAGACAAGATACACAGCGAACTCCAGGGCCTGCCCACCACACTTGGGAGCTAGCTAAACTGTTCCAGGGAAGGGTTTCTAGACCTCCCCTGGGCCAGATAATTCTTTGCTGTGGGGGCCTGTCTTGTGTAATGTAGGGTGTTTAGCAGCATCCCTGGCTTCTCCCCCTAGATGCCAGTAGCATCACCCCAGTTGGGACAACCAAAAATATCTCCAGAAACTGCCATTTCTAGGGAATGCTGCTGCAGGGTGTGCTCTGTAACCCCCCTCCTCCGTCTCATAAGGAAAACCTTAGGCAAAATTCTGCATCGTTCGGCAGGGTTTTGGAGGTCTGACTTGCCCCTCCTTCCTCCTCACCCCTCGTGGGGCATCAAGGCCTGGTTACATTCGGGCCGCACTAGAAACAGTTCCTATTCCAAAATGTGTGGAGGATGTACAGAATTTTTGTAAACATGTACCTTAGAACCCATTCGGTCTCGTTCTTAGAGAAACATACATCATGTTTGCTTTCTAGCAATGCTTTCCCAATGGGAGAGAAGGGGTGGGGGAACAGCAGGAAGGCTGGTAACACCCACAGGCAGATCAGGTGACTAATCATGGCCAGAAAATGCCTGTGGATGGCTAGTCTCGGAGCTGGGGCCCACTTGGGATTCCCCCGGGGCCACTAGTGTTCTCTCCAGGAAGTAACCAGTCATTCGGCACCTGTGTTGTCTCTCACAGCACCCTGGGCTTATTTGTTTGAAATCTCACTCCCCTCCTCTACCGCAAGCACAGGGAGGGCAGGCACCGTGTCTGTTTGCTTCATCACTAAGTCCTTGGCATTCCTGGGCCTGGCACATGGTCAACCCTAAAAACCTATTTCTTAAATGAACAGATGAACGATATCTGGGAACACTCCATACTTCCTTGACCAGCAACTCATACATTAAGGATCAGATCAAACGTCCCTGATGTCTCCCAACAGAAACCATTGCTTTGCATTCTCAAAACACTTGATTCGTGCTTCTTTTATTGCAACATGCATCACAGTACATACTCTTGGGTTGTATTCTGTGTCCCCTGCCAGAATGTAAGGTCTCTGGGGACAAGCACTGTGAAGCACTATTTATTATCCCCACTCTCACCAGTGGTTGGCACACAATGGATACTCAATGAGGGCTCGTTCAATGCAAGAACCAAAAAATCTTGTCCTGTCTCCATTCCAAATCCTAGACATCAAAGTTTGGATGCATCCTGACTCAAGAGCCTTGGCTAAACCCATGAACCAGAGGCTGCTTTGGACATCGATTTCCTGGTTCTTGAACACAAAGCAAGAATATCCGCCCAGCCCTTCTAAAGTTATATCTAGGTTAGCAGGCTGACCACAGGGAGGATGATATCCTGGAGGAGCCTCAGCCCCAAAATCCCCACTGCCCCAGGGCTATGAGGCTTCAAACGACCTTCAGGAGCCTTCTCTCCTTCCTGCCCTCATCTATACCCACACCTCTAGCTTGAAGCCCTCGGCCAAAGCAGGCTCTGTGCTTGGAGAGCACTAAAGAGCACTTCTGAGTGTCTACACAGTTCTCTGTGTCACTGTTCCTGTTCCATCATCCCAGGCCCTTGGAAAGGGGTGTGTCTGGCCAGGAGGAGACCCCAACATCCAGCACGCGTGCGGTATTCATGCCACCTCCTGCTGACCAGAGCTCCCGGGCAAAGAAAGTGGAGTCTAGGACACCAGAGGAAGCTGTTCCCAGCCCGGTCCCTGAGCTTTGCTGCCTACCTGGCTGAAGACTGGAGTGAGGGTGCTTTCTGGAGAGGGTCTGTCCTGGGATGGGCCTCCCTGCTGACTGCAGTCCAGCTGGATCAGATGGCGGCACTCCGGGTGGCAGGTGAATTTACAGTCTGGAGGGAAAGAAGCAGCAGGGGATTAGGAGTCAGGCAGGATTCTATCCACTTCCACCCGGAGAAATACCCTGGGAGATGGCGTTTCGCTCCAGGAAGGAAAACCGTGAAGGAGAGAAGTGGAGCGTGGGAGGACACCTCGGTGCCACAGGGAATGGCTGGTGACGGGTAATGCGTGTTTTACGCGTTTGCAAACTGTTCTCACCACCGTTATTTTGTGTGACCTTGCAATCATTATTATTGCCACTTTACAGACAGGAAATTGGGATCTAGGGACCTTAGTGACTTTCTCAAGGTCAAGTCATCTGACTTCAGGCTGGTGCTCTTTCTACTGATTGACATCAATCACCAGGGGTCACAGATCCCTGGAGAAAGACTTCACTTTTCTGGGCCTCATTTTGCCAGCCTGTAGGATACAGGTAATAGCTTCCCTGCCTGGTGCACAAGGAAGTTCATAGTCATAGGGGAGAACAGGTCTTAACAAATTAAAAGTGCCTCCAGGGACAAAGGCGTTATCCTCAACAGGAAGGACTGTTACCTGTCTCTGACCCTGCCCCAACCAGAAATGAGGAGGCGGCTTCTCTAACCCAGCTTAAAAGGCCCGCAGACAACATCCCAAATCAGGTGCTTCATGGGAAAGCATATGTTTCTTTTTTTTTTTTTTTTATGTTTTATTTATTTCTGAGAGAGAGAGAGACAGAGCACGAGCGGGGAAGGCACAGAGAGAGAGGGAGACACAGAATCGGAAACAGGGTCCTGGTTCTGAGCTGTCAGCACAAAGCCCAACGCGGGGCTCCAACTCACAAACCTTGAGATCGTGACCTGAGCCGAAGTCAGACGCTCAACCAACTGAGCCCCCCAGGCGCCCTGGGAAAGCATACATTTCATAGACAATGTTCATTTCCATGGAAGCAGGACTAAATCTCCAGGGTTGTACAGAGCCTTGGGAACTAGTTTAGCGGTGGGGAGACTGAGGCTCAGAGAGGTGAAGTGAGTTTGCCCAGTGACACACGGCTCAGCAGCAGGGCCGGTGCTGCCAGCACTTCCCCGGGGGGGGGGGGGGGGGGCTCTGCAGCCTCTTCAGCAGGAGGCCAGGCAAGGGAAGGAGAGCACTACAGAGGATGGGAGTGAAGTAAAGAAACCCACGCAAGTCCATCAGCAGGCGAAATGCCCAGATTTGGTCAGGTTTGAGGTGCGGTTCCTGCACACAGCTTCTGGGCCAGCTGGGGTCACCTGTCCCAGAGGTGCCACAGCTCGGCCCGAAGACCCAGCCCAGGTAGGGTGCAGAGTCTCTCTTGAGAAGGCTGACTTCCTGAATGCGAGGCCAGGTGCGTGGGGATGGGCTGATCTGGACAGGATCTGTGGTAGGGGACACGATAGCCTGCACTTGTTTGGACAATCTGGGGACTGGGGGACAATCTGGGGACTGGGGGACACTGTTTGGACAATCTGGGGACTGGGCTGACAGGAACTCAGGCTCCTGACATTCTTTTCCTTATTTGTAACAAGCTCCAAAAATCCAGCACATGTGGATTCTTTTTTTTTAATTAATTAATTTATTTATTTTGAGAGAGAGAAAGAGTGTGTGTGAGGGGCAGAAGGGGGGGGGGGGGTAGAGAATCCCAAGCAGGATCCACACTGTTAGCACAGAGCTCAATGTGGGGCTTGAACTCACGAACCCATGAGATCATGACCTGAGCCAATATCAAGTGTGTAATTGGATGCTTAACCTACTGAGCTACCCAGGCATCCCCCATCTTGGGCCCAGGGTGAGTCTGTTCTTCTCCCACTCTTTTGGGGGTTCTGGAGTGAGACTTCCACTCTCCGCAGATGCCCTCTTCCTTTACACCCCCAAAGATGAGCACCTGACACAGGTTTTGCCACTAATGTCCGCAGGGGAGCATTCTCAGAAATGTGGGGACACACAGAGATTCCGGAACCCTGAGACCATCTGACTCAATCAGTGGTCTCAAGCTCTCAGCCACCATTCTGGAATAGCGTTTAGAAGCTCTCTTGCTTATCCCCCTCATGCCCGAATGCCACCGATATCCCCTCCTTCAGACCCTGCCCTTGTCCAGGCCTTCCCAACTCTCCTCCTTACGAGCCATCCCCTCACCTGGAGACAGAATGGTGAAGCCATCGTCTGAGGTATGAACCCTACACTTCCAAGTGCCCACATGTATTTCTGGGACCCCCAGTAGGAGATCTCTGCCCCACACAGGGATGGCCTCACTCTTAGTGGGGTGAAGGGCACAGGGGGATATGCAGGCCAAGTCTCGCCTGCCCACAGTGCCCAGAAATGCCGGGGCCTTGATAAGGCAGCACTGAGGCCAGAGTCCACACAGAGAAGCATTGTTCCAAGACTCTGCTCCGGGAACACACCTGTAGAGCTTCCGGCAGCGCTCTGAGCGATGGAGAGTGCTCCGGGGCTGCCAAGAAGTGGAAACAAGGAAGAGAAGAAAAGACTAGAAGTTCTCCCAACTCGACAGCAAACAAGAGCTGCCACCAACTCACAAATGGGAAAGCGTCGTAAGGCAGGAGGATGTCTTCCAATCTCTTCTTTGAACTCCTGGTACCGTTGACTCAGGCTTTGTATGTCCACCCGTGCATCATGTCCTTCTCTCTCTCTCTCTCTGTGCTCTGTCTCTGCTCTGTTTCTCTCTC